GATGTGGGGGAACTTCCTAACGGTCCACCCTGGCTGCCAGTAGGGCCCAGTGGGAGTGCCAGAGCCCATTTTGCAAGCTACGTTCCCACCACGTGTTTGCACTCACCATGGCAAAGCCTGAGAGGAGAGCAGAGGTGCGGCTGGAGGCTTTCAGCTTGGCCCTGCTCAGGTAGAGCTTCCTCCAGGAGAGGGCCTGCACGGAGTGGTGGTTGGAGGTGACCAGTTCCAGGTAGCTGCGGCGGACCCAGTCCCGGTAATCCATGCCCTTGTGGCCAGGCTCAGGGCAGGCGGGGGTGGAGGGGTCCACAGGCACATTGAGCTCAGCACTCATCATGGGAGCCAGGCTGGGGGCAAAAGAGGCACACACTCAGGAATCCCAAAGGGTTTCTGGGGCCTGGAACCCCCAGTTTGTCTTCTCTGGGGGCCCGGCACTGGCGCCATGGGGGCCAGTGGCGTGTGAGTGGGGGCCCTGGTCTCTGATGCAGTCCCCACAGGTGGACCGTTTGTAGGAGAGGCGACTCAGGAGTGCATTTCCAAGAGCCACGACAGTGTTCAACATTGTTCCCGCCATCCCGAGCTCAGAAGGGTTCCAGTTGAGTGTGGCTCTGGGTGAATGGAATTCCAAGGTTGGCCAAGAGCACCTAACAACATCCTCCAAGTTGCACCAATCTTTAGGGAGTAAGGAGCTGTAGCATTTAGAAAGATCCAAGGACCTCAAGTTACCAAGTCTGGATTTGACCCAACTGTGTGATGTTGAACATAACACCTGACCTTGCTGACCATCATCTTCAAATGAGGACATCCCCACCCTACAGGGCTCTTGACAAGATACAGGACCTGTAGACTCAACTGCTTTTCAATGTCCAGGTGTCAACGTGAACTACACTTTTCCAAGTAGCTGCTATAAATCCAACTTAAATTTTCTTTTTCTTTTTTTATAAACCCTCCTGTGGGGGCCTGACTTTCAATAGATCAAAGCGAAGGAGCTGCTCTGCTATATACAGAGCAGGTCAGGAATGATGTAAACGTGCATTGCATGCTGGGCAAAAAGGCAGCCCCCTTTCTGGCTGTGCCCCATTTCACCCGAGGAGGGGCGCTCCCCACAGGACCCCGTCCCACAGCAGCCAGCTGGCTGCCCATGTGGCTGCTGGGAGACCAGCTGTAGGAGGGCAACGGAGGCTGGAGGAGCTGCCTAGCATTCTGCCTGGGCAGGATTCAGAGAGGTTAGTCAATCCCACAGATGGCTCACTGGCTCCTTCGCCAAGCCCATACTCCAAATGTCCAAACTGGCAGTTCCAACTTAATGTTAATTCGCCCCAAAATACTTGGTTTATTTATCTAAAGTACAGACACATCCAGGCTGCAATGGAAACATTTAACAAAACAAAAAATTAAACCCAACTGAATGTATATATATAAAAAGCCAGCAACAGTAACGCCATAACAACCAGTTGCTATGACGCCCACTGTGGCCAGAGAACCAGCCAATGAGATACATATGTCTCTTTTTTTCCCATTGACCCAAGTGCTCTCTATATGGTTTGCTGAGGCTGATCCCTGGCCAGCATTGCAGCTTTACTTATTCTTCTGCTCAAACCTGCTTTTTCCCATTGTTCCCAGTTACTGTTCTCAAAAATGTCCTTTAATAAGTACTGCCCACTATCGGACTCTCCCAGGGTGGGGCTGGCAGGCCAAACACCCAACCAACTTCCCCCTGGCCGCCCCACTCCTGATAGCAGCCCTCACCTGAACAGGGGGCAGGGCTGGCCACCCAACCCCCTGCAGCCCCTCCCCCTGGTTGGCCCTGCCCCTGATAGGCCCCCACCACCTGATCAGCCTGCAGCCCCTCCCCCTGCCTGGCCCACTCCTGATCACCACCTCCCCAATAGGGAGTTGGTCACCCTGTCAACCTCATGCAGCCCCTCCCCTTGCCTGGCTCCACCCCAGATAGGCCCCCTCACCTGATCAGGGGCAGGGCCCTGCCAGCCAGCCACCCATGGCCCCTCCCTATGGCTGGCCACGCCCCTAATTGGTCCCTCAATCCCAATCAGGGATGGCCCCTCTACCCACCCAGCCTGGCCCTGATTGGCCCCAATCAAGGCAGGCCGGCTGGCCAATCTCCCGCCATCTCCTCCTCCTGATAGGTCCAGCCCAATCCACCCTGATTGGGGCCAGGCGGCCAGACCCACCGGAGCAAGAATTCGTGCACTGGGCCTCCAGGGTTTCATAAAGACACTAGAGGTCCAGTGCACGAACTGGTGCACAGGTGGGGCCCCTGCCCGGTGGTGGAGCTCCCAGGTGAACTCCTTGTTGAACTCCCAGTGGAGGGGACAATTTGCATATTATTATTATATAGGATGGAAAATGGAGACAGACCCCTGGAGTCAACCCAGGAAGAAATCTGGTGTGACAATTACATAAATGAAGATCAGAAGGACTGATCTGTCAAGATTTGTGAATTTAAACCCAAATCTCCACTAATCCAAATAGGGATTGGTGGTCTCCTGTGGTCCAAGGGGCTGGCCGTTTGGCAGCAGGTTGGGATCAGTCTAATTAATCTGCAGGGAAAGTTTCAAGGGCACAGGCGCCTCACAGCTCAGTGAGCATCAGATATTACCTTGGGCATTTAGGCCCTGATAGGCCTCATGAAAAGCCTTCGTAAGGCGATTAGAAACAGATAAGGGTTTCTGGATCCCAGGGAGCATGGCTGGGGATGGGGGTGGGGGAGTCAGGGCTGTTTACCAAATGTCAGCATCTGAGAAAATGCCCCACACCTGACCCATGCCAATCTCTAAGAGGGTTCCGTGGGAAGGCCCAGGGAGTTGGAAGAGCTGTTTTGGGGTGCCTTCCTCTTTGCTCACTGCCCGGCTGTGGAGACCGCCTTTTACTGGCCAATAGGACCCTGGGGAACGGTTCTGTGCTCTTCTATTCCTGCCAGAGATGTCAACACTAGGAATGCCTTCCTGGAAGCATCGAGGCCCCCTTGCCCGCGTCTGCAGCCAGCAGCACTACTTTCAAGTCCTTTAGTAACTGGAAGGTCCCTTCCCTCGGGGGAGAATCCAGAGGACGCTGCTTACGAACCAATCCCTTGGCTAGCTCCAAATAATTTAGGATGGCATCATCTGGAAATGCACTTTTCCTTCCATTTTTCTACATGTAACAGAAGGGATAAAGACAGTGTGCTGCATGTGGAGGTGTAGAAGGCACAACCTTTGCCCCCCTCCGAGTATCCGTCTCTCCATCCAACATCCTGCATCGGAGATGTTTACTGGGCCCTAAAGTAAGACAGCACTTGACATTTTCATCAGAGATGAAAAAGGCAAGAACCCTGTGAGTTCCTGTGTCCAGATGGGAACAAGATAAGGGGTGATTCTCAGTGGATGAGCTAAATGCTTTTTTTTTTTTTTTTTTTAATATATTTTATTGATTTTTTACGGAGAGGAAGGGAGAGAGATAGAGAGCTAGAAACGTCGATGAGAGAGAAACATCTACCAGCTGCCTCTTGCACACCCTCTACTGGGGATGTGCCCGCAACCAACGTACATGCCCTTGACCGGAATCGAACCTGAGACCTTTCAGTCCACAGACCGATGCTCTACCACTGAGCCAAACCAGTTTCAGCAAGCTAAATGCTTTAGGGGAGGGGGTGAGAGGGCCTAGGAAGCAGAGGAGGTGCTGGCTGCCTCAGCTTTGGGCAGGGAGAAGGTCCCTTCTAGGGAGCAAGGATAGGGGATGAGGACATAGGTAGTGAAGGCAGTGTTGGCAAAGAGGGACTCTCCCTCAAAGACAAAATGCTACCCACATGGGAGGGCTCTGAGAGGCAGGGAACATGGCAGGAAGATGGCTGCAGAGTGGGGGCAGGGGTGTGTGTCAAGGAAATGGGGGAGGGGCAGGATGCAGGAGTACTGGAGCTCAGGGCAGCGCAGGCAGTGTGACTGCTGGGCTTTCTCTGGCGGGACACAGTATGGCTCACGGAAGAAGCCAATAAGGGAAACAATCTGGAATCAGCCTGATCTGTGTGCCAAATGAAATGGCAGGAGGGCCTGGCAACCTCCAAAAACACAGAGGTAAGTACGGGGTGAAGAAGAGGGAAGTTCTGGGGCCATCCGTGGGCAGGGGCTGGGCTCAAGTTCCAGAGTGGAGGTGGTGGCCTCCTGGGAGCGGTCAGTCCCAGCAGCCCTGGGACCACCCTCCGAGAGGCAGGGGTGGGAAGGAAGGGCTGTCTGCTGGGAGCCTGGGACCTGAAGACAGAGAAGCCACTTCCTGCAAAGGCGCAGCCAGACCTGATTCAAATCCACCCTATCTCTGCCAGCCCCACTGTCCTCCTTACACCAGGGGTCCCCTGCCCCCCCCCCCGCGGGGGGTGGGGGGAGAGACAGAGTTTGGTCCTCACACTCAACTGGGGTAGGGGGTAAGGAGGAGCAAGCTGGAGCCTGACATTTCAGTCAGGTGTCAGGGGCTCCAAAGGATGCTCTCCTGGTGAAACCTGGAAGGGTCTTTCTTTATAAGGGAAGTCAGAAAAGGAGGTTTGGTACCTTAACTGGGTCTCTCTCTACATTAGCAGGCCTGTTTGAAACACACCCAGGGGGTGGGTTTGGGGTTTGCCCATCTTAACTTCCTTTCAGCACCTGGGGCGTGAGCAATGATGAGCGAGCGCAGACACATCTGTGTCTCATTCTCTCTGTCTTTGTCATACCTGTGGGGGACGGAGGCCCAGCAGTGCCCACAGGGTCTCCCAGAAGGTCCATTTGCATCTGCATCTCCGTCCTGCCCCCAGGGCCCCAGACGCCGCCAGACCGGACTCGGCCCGCGCCCCCGACTTCCCTGTCTTTCGGCGCCGCAACCCGCCCGGGGTCCCGCGGCGTTAGGGTCACCTGGCCGCCACCCACCCCATGGCGAGCCCGCCCAGGGGAGAGCCCGTCCCTCCGCTGGTGCGATCCGGCCCCGCGGACGGGCGAGGACCCGGCTGCCTCCTCCAGACCCCCAGGACGCGCACTCACCGCGCTGCTCTGCCCGTCCTGCCCGGCTCGGCTCCGGCGCGGCTCCGGCTCAGCCCTGTGGCCCCGTGGCCCGGCAGGGCGCAGAGCGCGGCCCCCGCCTCCTTCCGCCGGCCCCGCGGGGTCCCCTCCGCCCCGCCCCGCCCCGCCGCGCCCCGCCGGCTGTCCCGCCCCCGCCGGCCGCCGCAGCGGCTGCCCGGGCAACGGCGCGCTGGCGTCACGTGACCCGCCCCCGGGCGAGCGGCGGGCCACGTGACCCTGTGGGGGGCTCGTGGCCCCTCCTGGGGGGTCCCAGGGAGCCCCGCCGGCTCTCCGTTCCCGCCCAGGCCCGAATTCCCTCAGCCGGAGCGCATCTCCCTGGTCCCCGGGCGCGCCCGGGCAGCAGCGGACAGGGATTGGCGCAGCGGCGGCGAGGCGGGCCGGAAGCCCGGGCATCCTTCGCTCTCCCGCCCGGAGGCCAGCCTCCCTGCGCCCCGGTGACAGGACAATAAGGCTGCGCTGTCTGACCCTGGGTCTGGCCAGCTGGTCCAGGGCTGGGTGGGGCTGCCTTTCCGCGGGGTGTGGGTCTCAGCGCAGAATGGGACCACATGCTTTCCAGGGTCAGTCCCAGAGGATGCCCAGGACCCATCGTTGGCCGTAAAGAGGATGCCGAGAGGCCAAAAGGGCGCATCCTGCAAAGAGAGGGACCAGGAATCCCGTTCTGTGACTACAGGGTGGGCAGGGGTGAGGGGAAGAACGTGGGGGAAACGGGTGGAAGGGCAGACTGGGAAGGGCCCAGACAGCCACGCGCAAGTTTGCCTGGGTGGACGGTGGCATACGCAGATCGCGGGCTGGAGCTGTCAGGTGGTCACCAAAAGCGCACCCCCATCCCCGCACACCCTCCTCCATCCCGGGTCTCCCAGACCCTGTGAAACCCGCGGGGACCTAGCCCGGGGACCGCACGCTCGGGATTCTAACCCTTGTGACCACGCGCGGAGAGCTAATCTAGTGTTCTCAGATGTAAGGCACCTGGGGTGAAAATGTCTGTGTTGACCCAGCCACTTCCATCCGCTGCTGCAAGGAATTTCTCATCCGAAATGGTGAACTCACCGATTTCACAATCTAAGTAGATAAGCAAACAGGACTGTTCTTTTCAGGAAGTGCACACGAATGATTTACCACCAGGCGAGATGGGTTCATATCCGCCTGCTTTGCCAGAGGGCCCCTCAGAGTCCTTCCTCCATGCCCTACATAGGATTTTTCCATCTGTCACACAGCACAGAACCGTGACACACTTATCCAAAAAATGATATCTTTTGGTCCAGTAGGACACTTACAAAACAAATTAAGCCAGTTCCCCCTCTGGTTATTGCTCTGACAAAGGTTATTAATAGGAAAATCATGGGGACTGATATACTGCCTTGCCTCCATGACTACAGGAAAGGGGCAAAATCCTCAAAAATATTATAACCATACTGGGGCTTTCAAACCTCAAAGCTCTTCATAAAATGATCTGGAAAAAAACAGGAAGAAAAACACTAAACTACAGTAGTTGTGTCAGCAACAGAGTCATTTGCTTGTTGAGTTCTCAGTGCACATCCTTTGCAAAGATTCCTATGCTAGTCAGTGATGCCTCCACCCCAAGCACATTAATCGAGCATGACTAGACAGAAGCAAAATGTGTCATAATTACCAGTGTTTTTCAGAGTTAGTTTCCTACCAAACACAGAAAATGGCTTTTCCTTGCTGCCCCCACCCCCAAAGATTGAGGAAGATGAAGGCCATCAGGTTGATTTTAAATATATATATATATTATTCTATATAATAAAAGGGTATAACGCAAATAGACTGAATGGCAGAACAACGGAACCAATCAAAGCATAATATCCTGATGAATAAGGCTGCTCAGCTGCTCGCTATGACATGCACTGACTGCCAGGGGCAGATGCTACAACAGGTAGGTTAGCTTGCTACTGGTGTCAGGCTGATCAGGACTGAGCAAGATGGACCAGGCATGCCCTCTTGTGGTCCCTTGCTGGCCATTGTGCACCGGTGGAGTCCCTCAGCCTGGCCTGCACTCTTGCAATCCGGGACCCCACGGGGATGTCAGAGAGCCGGTTTCAGTCCAATCCCACAGGCCACTCTCCTTGGGAGGGCTCATGGCTGGCAAGTGCTGCTGCGACAGTATGAGCCTCTCCCGATAGGGACTGATAGAGTGCGAGCCTGAGACAGGCACAGTGGGGCTGAGATGAACGGGAGCAGCAGGTAGGAGCTGCAGGCAGCTTTGGACTTTGGGTTTTCAGCCCGATTCCTGAGGCCACCCAAAGGGACCCCATCTGTGCAAATTTGTGCACCGGGCCTTTAGTGTGTGTGTGTGTGTGTGTGTGTGTGTGTGTGTGTGTGTATATATATATATATATATATATAGTGCGGGACTTGAAGCTGCAAGTGCAGCATGGAGGCGGGCCCTGCAATCACTCCACATGGCCAGGCCTGGGGGTCCTGCTGTGGGAGCCCTGGCTCAGGCCTATCTCTTTGGGGCAATCCATCGAGGAGCCCCGGATGGGTGGGTGGGGCCTACCTCTTTGGGGCAATTGATGGCAAGGCTCTGGCACTGTGAGAGGGCACAGGCCAGGCTGGGGGACCCCTTCTCAGCCCTGAGAGCATGAATTTTGTGCAATGGCCTCTAGTAATAAAAGCATAATATGCTAATTAGACGGGACAGCTGGGTGTTGTTCTGGACAAAGCCAAGCCATGGCGGCGGGGGGCTGAGGGTGGGGCAGTTAGGGATGATCAGGTAGGTAGGCAAACAGTTTGGGCAACCAGGCAGGCAAGCAGAATGGTTAGGTGTGATCAGGCAGGCATGCAGAGTGGTTAGGGGAGATCAGGCAGGCAGGTAGGTAGGTGAGCAGTTAGGGCTGATCAGGCAGGCATGCAGTGTGGTTAGGGGTGATCAGGCATGTAGGCAGAGTGGTTAGGGATGATCAGGCAAGGAGGTGAGTGGTTAGGGGTGATTAGACAGGCAGGCAGACAGCCCCCAAAGGGGTCCTGGATTATAAGAAAGGTCCCAATTACATGAGGGCTGAAGGCCCTCTTGCCCCTGTGCATGAATTTCGTGCACCAGGTCTCTATAATTTATTAATTTCAGAGAGGGAGAGGGAAAGGGAGAGAGATGGAACATCGATGAGACAGAATTAATTGGTTGCCTCCTGCAGGTACTCACACTGAGGATCGAGTCAGCCACCAGGGCATGTGCCCTGACCAGGAATTGAACCACGAGCTCCTGGTTCATAGATTACATTTAAGCACTGAGCCACACCGCCTGGGATGAAAGGAGATTGATGATCACAGTACTAATCGTTGGAGGGCCCCTTAGATGCCCAGGCAGTTGAATGGAGTTACATGGAGGGGTTAGGAGGTTCAGTTTAAGGTCCACAAGTACCAGTACCCAGCAGGTGTTTGGGCTACAGTTTGGGCTATTTTCCTATTTTCCTACCTGGCAAGTTCTTCCTCCCCCAAGGCCTAAATTATTTATTTTTAATATATATTTTATTGATTTTTTACAGAGAGGAAGGGAGAGGGATAGTTAGAAACACTGATGGGAGAAACATCAATTAGCTGCCTCCTGCACACCTCCTACTGGGGATGTGCCCACAACCAAGGTACATGCCCTTGACTGGAATCGAACCTGGGACCCTTCAGTCCACAGGCTCTCTATCCACTGAGCCAAACTGGCTAGGGCGCCATTCACTCTTATGGTCTATTCCTTGTCATCACCCTCTGTGAAATTTTACATTCAAATATCCTTTCTGACTCTGTCACTTAGTTCTCAAACCACTGCCTCTCTTACTTGACCTGCTGGGACCCTCACAGCCTTCTTTCCTCTTCAGTTTGACCCCTTCCTGCCACCATTAAGAGAGCTGTCGTCATCACTTCCTTCATTTCCTCCTCAGCCTTCCGAGGTTCACTGACACTGTATTGCTACATCCAGAGTATTTCAGCCATGTCTTGCCTGTCATTGGGTACACCCCCACACCCCATCTGGAAACTATTTTCCCTCGAGGACCCCACCTGACATTTCCCGTGCAGGATGCTCCTGTCTGTCCCCTAGATTCGGGTGTTTCTCAGTGTTGTCTGGATCTCCCTTCCTGTATTTCCTGACTGGTCTCTCCCACTGGCCGTTTCAGGAACCTCAATCACCACCTCTAGCCCTGAGTTTTCCAGCCTGGCAGGGGGTATCCCAAACTTCACCATGCCCAGAGCTGCAGTCCTCCTTTCCCTGACATACTTGCTCTACTTCCTGGATCACATCACCCGTCTCCAGGGATGTGACCATCCACCCAGCTAGAGATACTATAGATCTGGTGTCTTTCCTGACTCCTCCACTCCCCATCAAGTGCTGTGAATTCTCCCCCTAAATGCCTCTGGAATTTCTACTTCTCCCTGCCCCCACGGCCTTTGTACTACAATAATTCAGGTCATCATTACCTACAGTCTACAGTCTACATTATTCCAAGAACTCCCCATCTGTCTCCTCCCTTCCTTTGCTTGTTTTTTTAAGTCAGCTTTTTTTTTTCTTTTCTTTTTTTTAAATACCTTTATTGATTTCAGAGAGAAGGATAGAACCACCGATGGTGAGAGATCAGCTGCCTCCTGCATGCAAACCCCCACTCCCATCAAGCCTGCAACCCAGGCACATGCCCAGATCAGGAACCAAAACTGTGACCTCCTTTGCCCTAACCGGTTTGGCTCAGTGGATAGAGCGTAGGTCTGTGGACTAAAGGGCCCCAAGATAGATTCCGGTCAAGGGCAAGTATCTTGGTTGCAGGCACAAACCCTGTAGGGGGTGTGCAGAAGGCAGTTGATCGATGTTTCTCTGACATCAATGTTTCTAACTCTGCTCCTCTCTTCCTCTCTGTAAAAAGATCAATAAAATATATTAAAAAATAAAACAAAACTGTGACCTCCTGGTTCATAGGTCAATGCTCATCCACTGAACCACACCCAACCAGTTCCTTTTATTATTGATCAGGAAGTAGACGGTTGGGTTCCTATGAGCCCCTGAATCAGCTGATCAACTCATAACCTTATGTATGTTTTTGTTTAATGACAACTTTATCAATATATATTACTGATTCCTTAACATTGAATCACTGCCAACAGCATTATAACTCATGCCTGAACGAAGGATATCTAAGGCTCTTCACAGCCTTCTTGTTCTTAAGAACACTAGCCAGTTTGGCTCAGTGGTTAGGGCATCTGCCCGAAGACTGAAGCATCCCAGATTTGATTCTGGTCAAGGGCATGTCCTAGAGGCAACCAATCGATGTCTCTCTCTCTCTCTCTCTCTCTCTCTCTCTCTCTCTCTCTCTCTCTCTCTCTCTCTCTCTCTCTCTCTCTCTCTCGTATCGATGTTTCTATCTCTCCCCACTCCCTTTCACTCTCTCTAAATATTAATGGAAAAATATCTTTAGGTGAGGGGTAACAAAATAAACAAGAACATCAGACTGCACTTCAGCACCTCATTTGGGGGCCATTTTAAACAGAAACCACCAACAATAAGCAATAAATGTAAAAAACTTGTTAAGTCTGCGCTGAAACAAGAAGACAGAGCACTACCTCAGTTTAACCTCAGTGTGCATTGGGCAACTCAAAATGCTGGCGTTCTGTGAATGTCTGCAAATGACCACAAAAACATGAGTATTAATTTTGGGGTTACAAATAAATTTTGGTGAATTCCTAAACATAGAACTTGTGAAAAAACGAGAATCAATTATATTTAAAACTATGCCATAGTGATATCCTGTATCCTGTATCACTATGCACACAAACGCATCAGGGGGCTTTTTTACAGAGAGGAAGGAAGAGGGAGAAAAGAGTTAGAAACATTGATGAGAGCGAAACAACCTCAAATTTTCTGATTAGAAGCCCCTTGACCTCAGGATGAAAACACAGCTTTGGGCCATGGATTCCTCCCTCATCCCCCTTCCAGTTTGGCTAGGATTCCCCATGCCCTCTACTCTGATGCAGCCCAGCCTGGATTCTCCACCTGCTTCTTTATTCGTCTCTAATTATTTTCCCTGGTTACATCCCACATCTCCCTTTGCATTCGCCCAAGGCTTCCCAAAACACACCTGTGTACTGGGAGCAGCTAGGCAGGAGCACGTGCTCTGAGGTGCAGTCTGCACCCTCAGCTGAAGGAAGTGGAGGTTCGGTGCCCTGCAGTGCACATCAGCTCCAGACCAAGGCCATTTCCCTCAATGAGCCTGGAAACAGGCTGGTGTGAGAGGCCTCATCTCTATCACCTCATTTTCAGCCTTCTCTACACTTAGACACTTCACAGATCCAATCAAAACCTCAAGTTTTTGTTCTTTAATAAATAAACATTCCTTTCACAGATACCAGCCTCAAATTCATCACTGTCCAGATATGTATGAACAGGCAGCAGGGGCAGAAGGTTATACATTTCCCCCCTTTAGCGGGAACATGAATGAACTCTGGAATGCCTTGAGTGCCCCGGAGACAGTCCTCTCTGTCTCTCCTGGCAGGGCCACAGCAGTCAGGATGGCTTCCACTTGCTTCTATCCAGCACTTGGGAGAGAAACAGTTGAAACGACCTCCTTTCTCCTTGGGTCATGTGGAGGACCTTCTGAGGCCCTGGGCTCCAGAAAGCCACCGTGGCCAACACTGTCATCGCCCCATGATGAAGCTGGGCTCTTCCTCTTTCTCTTCCTCCGTCCCAGATGTCTCCTCAGAACTACTGGATGGCTGCTCTTGGCTCTGACTGGATCCTGTAATCACATGACATTCAGATTAGAGATGTCAAACTCACTCAGATAACCCAGGATGCTTTAGAAAAAGAAGAGCTGTGGAGACACTAGGAACTGGTCATTCCTGGACAGACAAGTGAGCCATCTGTCAGTCCTCACCTCCACTGCCCAGTATAAAAGGTCCATCACAGAACCGATCTACCATTGCCTGTGGGTAGATCTCATCCTTATTAAAAAGATCCACCTGGTGGAAGGAGGAAAAAATAAGGAACTTTTGTAATAATATGAACAATAAAGATTGATTTAATAAAAAAAATTAAAATAATTTTTCCCTGAACGAAGGAGAAAAAATAAACAAAAAATAAAAAAATAAAAAGATCCAGCAGCATACACAAGAGCCTGATGTCTCATGCATCAATTCTCGCTGTTTTTATATGGTCCTCAGCACCACTTTGCCAGGGCAACATCCCCAACCAGCCCTTTAACATTTAGCATTTAATACTGACAGTACTGCTGTTGATGTCTAAAGCTCTCACACTGCAGTCTGCAAAAGAATTTTTTTTTCTTCCCTGAAGTGATTGGAGGGTTGCTTTTGAAAAATGTGTTTGTTTGTTTTTTAATTGATTTTAGAGAGAGAAGTGGGGGGTGGGGGAAAGAGAGAAGGGGGAGAGAGAGAGAACATCAACTAGCTGCCTACTGCATGCTCTCACTGGGGATGGAGCCTGAAACCATGGCATGTGCCCTGACCAGTAATTGAATCTGTGATCTTTGGTGCAAGGAGGACAGTCAACCACACCAGCTGGGGCAAAAGGACTAAAAAAAAACCCTCTGTAGCAGAGGGCTCTGCCCACACAAATATGGTAGCTTCCTGGCTCTTCCCACAGACTTAGAAGCCCTCTCTTGATACTCCACTTGCAGCTCTGAATTCATGTTTTCCCTGGCATGACTGCCAGCACCCACAGTGCCACTGAGCCAACCAAAAGCAGAGCACAAAGACAACGTGTTCCCAACTCCTCCTCCCTCTTTCTGGGAGCAGAGGAGTGGGAGAAAGCCAGAACAAGGCAGAGACAGGCTCAGAGGCAGCACCAGCCCTCCAGCTCAGCCCAGCTCAGGCGGCCACTTGCAGGCACAGTGGGCTCACCCAGACCCATCAAGGGGCCTCCTCGCTGCAGATATGCAGGAATTCCAGCACCCCCAGAGCCCCCAGGCACCCAGAGATTTGCTCCTGTCGTCATCACAGGGCCAAAGAGCATCAAGGAAGGAAACCTTGGGGTTTGCAGGACCTATAAAGATCTTTCCAGACAACAAAAAGCTAATGGAGTTCATTACCATTGAATCATTATTACATGAAATGTTAAAGGTTCTCCTTTAAAAAGAAGAGAATAAAATGCCAGTAAATATCTATAAAACAATTGAATCTAAAAAAACAATAAATAAGCAAGCAAAACAGAAACAGACTAATAGATACAGAGAACATTTTGATCATTGCCAGATAGGAGGGGGGTTGGGGGAATGGGTGAAAAAGTTAAAGAAGTACAAAATGGTTGTTACAGAGTAGTCATGAGGATGTAAAGTACAGCATAGGAAATATAGTCAATAATATTGTAATAGTCAGATGGGTACTAGATTTATCAGGGTGATCACTTCGTAAGTTACCTAAATGTCTAATCACAAGGTTATATGTCTGAAACTAAAATAATATTATATGTCAACTGTAACTGAAAAATAAAAAATGTTTTTTGTTTTTTGTTAAATAATCCATGCTGTAGAAGAAGGCATGTGGGGAAAAGACAGTGGGAAACTGAGAGTAGGTTTTAATATGTAGGTGCCTGAGGACATTGGATGAAGCCAGTACCTTTTAATAATAAACTGTTTTGAGAGGGGAAGTAGCCAGTGAAGCCTGCTGAGGTACTTGCTGAGAACTATTATATGATCTTAGAATTAGATCCATTTACCATCCAGGAAGCTGCAGAAGTGTCTCCTGTGTACTGTGCTTTAATTTCCCGCTTTTGCCAGAAAAAAAGCAAATATATGCCTTAAAGTTTCATGTGGAATATTTGAAATTTTTGTGGATAGGTTATGTATAGTAGACTAATTCATTCATTTGTTTTTCTAGCCATATATTACTATTTTCCTGGACCAAATCATTACAGTAAGGCACTTCTGATAACATGGAGACAATTATTCAGCACTGTATCAAATGAGCACTAGAGGCCAGTAATGTTGTAGATTCTTTAATTTGCTTCCCCCTCCCCCATTTTTCTTGATGTGCTTGTCCTTCTATCTAACAAAATAATAATATGCAAATTGATCACACCTCCACCACACCCACAAGCCATGCCTACCAGCCAATCAGGAGCAAGTATGCAAATTACCCCAACCAAGATGGCTGTGGTCTCGGAGAGAGCAGGAGGCTTGGGGTGCCCCTGGCAATGGAGGAAGCCAAACTTTCCACACGCCCTGGCAGGCCCAGGCCTCCTCTCAAAGCTACAAAGTTTCATTTGTAGAAGATAAATAAATCCCAGATATCAGGGCCTCTGCTTGGGTCGCCTGGGGCGTGTGCCCAGGCTGCCCCACACTCCAAGGGAACCCCACCCTGATCCGGGACACCCTTCAGGGCAAACCAGCTGGCCCCCACCGGTGCACCAAGCCTCTATCCTATCTAATTCTATCTAATAAAAGGATAATGTGCAAATTGACCATCATTCCAACACAAGATGGCTGCCACAAGATGGCCAGCAGGGGAGGGCAGTTGGGAGGGACCAGGTCAGCAAGGGAGGGCAGTTGGGGGTGACCAAACCTGCAGAGGAGGGCAGTTAGGAGTGACCAGACTGGCAGAGGAGGAAAGTTGGAGGCGACCGGGCCTGCAGGGAAGGGCAATTGGGGGGGGAGGGGGAAGTGTACCCAGGCCTGCAGGGGAGAGCAGTTGGGGGGACCAGGCCTGCAGGGGAGGGCAGTTAAGGGGAACCAGGCCTGTTGAGAAGATGGGCTGGACACACAACCTGGAGCTCTCTGCAATCCCTCCCTGGTCAGAACAGCAAGCATTGTGGTGTTTTAGCTTGTCCTATTCCCCACCTTCTTCATAAAACCAAGGTAGTCACCAAAGCCAAAAGCCTCATAATCACAGTACCTATGAAAAGTACCAGCCTACAAACCACTGGAGGAGGTAAGCTGCATTGGGAGTGCCTCAGAAGTTCCACACACAGAGGTCTGTACTTATCTGATCTGTCTGGCAGCTCCCTAAAAACCTGTATTTGCAAGGATTATCTTCATTCAGTCTGACTCAGTAGAAAAGTCTCTTCCCCAGGCATCATAAAAGAATTTCTTCTAGTAAAAAACCATACTATATATAGTGTGTCTCAGTACATTTATAACTCAGAAGGAAACTGGCCCTTGAAGGGTCCAATCATATTGCAATATGCCACTGAAAGTCTGACTTTATCATAACTGTCCAATCGGGAAATATGCCTAGTCAATCAGGGAATTGCCACAGATTCAATAATGTTAAGGAGAGTTGCAATTTTTTTTTTGTTTCTTAGCATCCTTGGTCCTTCCTTCCTATCTGAAACCCCTGTCCCTGACTCTCAGCTCAGGGGCTCCCAGGGGAGTGGCTGGTACTTCTGGCCTTGTGATGGTTTCAAAGGTAGGCAAGACTGGCGGCACTGTGGTATGTTGTCACATTACTCACCTCCTACTTCTCATCAACAAACCCAATTCTATCTAGCGATGCCAGGTATCCAGCTCTCAGTGATGGATCATGAGAGGTTCAAGATGGTCATGACAATTCTTTTATCTATTCATCTAGCCTGACAGTAGCAAGAGATGGCAAAGTGATCTAGTAGTGATCAATGACATATAAGATGTCATCGGTTGAGCATTTCTAGGGGATGTTTTGCCTTTCAGTTACAGAAAACACACACACACACACAAAAAAAACACAGCAGACAAGTAGCACTCTTTTCCCTCTTCCTGCTTTGAACATAGGTCTGATGCCAGGAGCTGCAATAGCCATATCATGCCCATAGGACAAAGGCCAAAAGAACTGCAGGGAAGTTGGGCCTGACACTACTGAACTGCTGAACCATAAAAGGCTGCCACCTGCCACCTGGTTTCCTGTTATGTAAGAAAAAGGAATTCCTCTTTGTTTAACTACTGCTGGTTGAGCCTGTTTCTTGCAGCCAAAAGCATTCTTTTTTAAAAATCCTAATCTGAGGCTATATTCATTGATTTTGTTAGAGAGTGAGGAAGGGAGAGAGAAATATCAGTTGGTTGCCTCTCATAGGCACCTTGTCCGGGCATTTAACCGAAAACCTTTTTTGGTGTACGGGATGATACTAAACAACTGAGACCCCCAGCCAGGGTGCCAAACTATTCTTTTTTAAAAATATATTTGTATTGATTTCAAAGACGAAGGGAGAGAGAGATAGAAATAGAAACATCAATGATGAGAGAGAATCCTTGATCAGCTGCCTTCTGCACCCCCACATTGGGGATCGAACCATGCTGGCCAGGTAACAATTTTTACTCTTCTTTTTGTTGTTGTTAATCCTTGCCTGAGGATATTTCTCCACTGATTTTTAGAGAGTAGAAGAATGGGGGAAAGACAAAGAAAAAGAAACATCGATGTGTCTCTTATATTGATTGGTTGCCTCCAATATCCCAACTGGGCTCTGAGACGAAGCCTACAACTGAGGTACATGCCCTCGACCAGAATCGAACCTGGGACCAGAGACTGATGCTCTATCCACTGAGCCAAAGTGGCCAGAGTGGTGCCAAAAGTATCCTTAACTGACTTGCCAAGTGATTCAATCAGATAAAGGAACACAAAAACACCTTTGCTAGGGACATCTCAATCTTTCTTACTGGACAAGAATGAGGCAGGGTACAGCCTCAGGAACCTTACAACCACAGGGGTGACATAAGCCTGCCTGAGGACAGGATGCCAAGAGACAGAGGGAAACAGTGAATGCCAATAACAACTCAAAGCTCTTTTAACTAGTCATGACTGAAGGAAGGTTTGTCCTGGACTTAACATGAGCTAGTATGTTCCTTTTGTGCTTAATCCAGTTTGGCTTTCTGACACATGCAATTAAATGAGCCCTAATTTCTTCACTGGTCAGCCAATCAGTTCCACTCTAAATCTCATTCTTAGCAGGTCAGCTTCTGTGCAACACCATGAAAGATCAAAACAAAGAAAAGTGGGCACTACTCACCTTCTTTTTGTTTCTTCTGTTCAAGTTTCATCTTCTTTGCCAATAATTTCTTCTCTTTTAACTTTTGGCTACAAATGTAATATAAATACATTAATCCCTTATCTATCTTATTGTGTGTTAGAAACACCTACTTATAGGACCTTTAAAAATGTTATACTCACACAAACACTACACTAATAAAATGAAAGAATACTTTATGATTCTGCTACTCCATCATCAACATTATCAAGCAGTTTTTCTTCACGAATCAAGAGAAATCCTCCTGAGGTGTTTAAAGCCATCTCAGAAACACTGGAGATGGTTCTTCATCCCAATGTATTAGGGACAACTTCAAAAATCCTGTTCAGCACTCTAAAAGTGGGGTTCTTCAGAAAGAAACCTCATAGGTTGACCTGATCATAAATTCCTAATTGGGCAGGTCATGATGGGCAGCCACGCCCCAGGCATATAACTTTTGTAAAAGGTTTATCTTTGCCTTAAGCAGGCCATGGTTTTAGTGCATTTAGGTTAACAGAACTTTGAAATGTCTTTTCAGAAGTAACCTCCTTCAAGAAAGCACTAATCTGGTCAACTATCCTGTAATCCAGTCTCAGCCTTACTTTCTCTTCTTTCATGTAACCTTCCTTACTTCCCTCCATTTCAAATGCATAAAAGAAGCTGCAAACTGACATTCTGGAGACAATTTAAGATCTTGATTCCCAGCAGCTGTCCTCAGTTTGGCTCAAATAAATTCTTTAAAAATTCCCTACAGGTTTAGACATTTCTTACATTGATAAGGGACTATTTATTAAAACACACACACATGCTACCTGTATACTTATATAGTCTCTTAGGGAGATCACAGGCCCTAATTTAAAGAAGTTAAATGAGAAGTTCACTCAGCACCTAGTTAAACCTGAAGTTAAAACACAGAAGTGAAGAGGGGAAATCTCTATGATCACGGAAATGCTGGCACCCAAGCTTTGAAGAAGTTGTAGCCAGCTGGGGGAGGGGCACAGTAAATGTCTTGATCTCTCTTGGAGTATTTGAAGAAAAACCATTCCTCTACTAATTGCTCCATGGTGAGTTAAACACCCGAGACCTCTACAGGTTATACCACAAACTTTTGACTGCAAGGACTCATTCACCAACCATGCATCTACTTTCCATTTCCTGCCCTTAAGTCTCATTAGTTATGAAATGCCACAAAGCCCTTACCGTTTTTTTCGACGCTTTGCAGTCTGCTCCTCTGCAGCAATTTTATTCCTTTCCAGTCTCTTCTGAAACTCTATATCCAATTTTTGCTGCAAAAAATCCCCCACATCATTTAGACACACTGTGGGCTGGATATGAGAGCTCCAAAAGTCACACCAGCGGGGGTGCCACAAGCCTATCCAGATCTCCGTGGCCACTTTAGCTTTAAATGGTTGCCCCATAGAGGGGGTGGGAAATCAATACAGGGCTCTCTGATGGTGAATTTCATTCACTAAGATACTGAAGCAGGGTAGTAAGAAACTAGGAAAATTCTCCGGAAAGTGGAATGAGGAAACTGAGACAAAGGATGGGGAACAGCTGAGCAATTAATAGCTAGCTAATAAATCACAAGACCCTAACCTCCCAACTGAAGATGCTTAAGAGCAGATGGTTTAAATCACCATAGTCAGGAAGCCAGAACAAAAACCAATTAGAGCCAGACTAATCCAAGATAAAGGTAAAACTAGCCAGAAAATGACCCCAGATCCCATTGTACACCTATTTTATTTTTTAAAATTATTACCCAAGGATATTTTTTCCATTAATATTTTTTAGAGAGTGGAGGAAGCAGGGGGAGGAAAGGAGGGAAAGGGAGAGGGGAAAAGCGAGGGGGGGGGGGAGAGAGAGAGAGAGAGAGAGAGAGAGAGAGAGAGAGAGAGAGAGAGAGAGAGAGAGAGAGAGAGAGAGAGAGAGAGAGAAGATAAAGAGAGAGAGAGAGAGAGAGAGAGAGAGAGATATAGAGAGAGAGAGAGAGAGAGAGAAACATTGACATGAGAGAGAGGACTGGGCCGGGATTGAATCTGCAATCGATGTTAATATGCCCTTGACCAGAATCAAACCCTCAACTCTTCAATCTGTGGGCCGAAGGTCTAATCACTGAGAAAACTAGCTAGGGCTAAATCTAACTTTTTTTTTTATTTTTTTAAATATATTTTATTGATTTATTCACAGAGAGGAAGAGAGAGGGATAGTTAGAAACATCGATGAGAGAGAATCATCGATCAGCTGCCTCTTGCACACCCCCTACTGGGGATGTGCCCGCAACCAGGTACGTGCCCTTGCCCGGAATCGAACCCGGGACCTTTCAGTCCGCAGGCCGACGCTCTATCCACTGAGCCAAACCGGTCCCGACTAAATCTAACTTTTTAAATCAAATTATTGGAAAATGAAATATTATTGGGTAGTCTCCTCTTTCATAAAAAGCAGACAAATAGTTTTAAAGTATCTGAATCTCTCAAAATGTATAGATGTATTCCATGAAATAATAGCCATTATGAGAAGACTGAGGAAAAGGATTTTTCTAGTGCGTGTTGTAGGATTAAGAACAAGGGACAATTTCTCGTGCACAATGTTTTATTTTTTGTTTGTCTGTTTTTATTCCTCACCCAAGGATTTTTTTTTTTTTTTTTCAGAGAGTGGAGAGGAAAGAGAGAGAGAGAGAGAGAGTGGGGGGGGGGGGGGGGGATGGATGGAAAAGGGGAGGGGGAGAAAGAAGAGAGGGCGAGGGGAAGAAAAAGAGGAAATGGGGGAGAGGGAGACACTGATGTGAGAGAGACATGTCGATTGGTTGCCTCCCACATGTGCCCTACCAGGGTTGGGAAACCTGCCTCTGAGGTATGTGCCCTTGACGAGGAATCGAACTGATGACCTGAGACCCTTCGGTCCACAGGCCGATGCTCTAGTAATTAAGCAAAATCGGCTAGGGCATGTACAATGTTAAGAGGAGAAATCAGATTTGGAAAACCACAAAGAAACAGCCAAATCATATTTGATTTTTAAAAAATAGCATTATTACCATTTGTCCACCATCCAGAACTGAAATATCATTGCTGACATATACACATAAGGAACTGTTTGACATTGAAATTGGGTCTCAAAAGAACTGTTGGCCCAGAAAGAAAATAAAAAAATAAAAAATAAATAATGGTGGGCAAATTAGGAGCACTATATGAAAGTCAGTATTTTTTTTTTTCTGCATCTCAGTAATATCAAGTAATAAAATAGAGGACCACCTAGCATCACTGCAATAAAAAAAAACTTACAATATCTTTGAACAAATGTAGTGAGATATATGCAAAATCTCCACAAATCATCAGAGAAATACAAAAAAATTTTTTAAAAATAAAAAATCATAGTTTCTTGAGGGATGACTAACACTATAACATCCATTCTCAATTTAAATTAAGTTACAGATTCAACTTAATTCTAGTGAAAAATCCAGCAAACTTTTGGTGTGGATAAAATAACTCCAAATTTTAATTAAAAAAATAAAACAAGTGACATATTCAAAAGAGTATTTTTAAAATAGGAGAGAAACTTCTGGCCCTTCTAGTCAAGTAATGCTTAATAGTTTTTACAGTATAATTTCTAAAGCAATTCTCAATCCATTATTATTTGACACTTGTCATGTAGAGTTGCAGCAGCTAAGCTAGAAAACTAAAAGCAGACACATAGAACCACACTAATATTCACAGAAAACACACCCTAACCGGAATTATAGGTATTCAGCCAAAAAGAGAGAGAAATAATATAATAGCTCAAGTGGTGTGGGAGATCCTGCTTTCTATTAAATTTCATGGCAATGGCCTGAAGGGCTGTGCCCTTCTACTACCGTGTTTCCCCGAAAATAAGACATCCTCCGAAAATAAGACCCAGCGCATGAAAAGATAAGACATCCTCTGAAAATAAAACCTAGCGCAACTCCGGGAGAAAAGAATAAGACACTGTCGTCTTTTCAGGGAAACAGGGTGGTATACATGTTATTTATCTTATGGTGAGAAGTCTGGCCTCGGATTAACGCGGCTCTCCTCAATGTCTGTTTCTGGTACTAGCTTTAAAAGACAGTTTACACAAACCAGGTGTATCTACTCTGTTTCAAATGCTTTTTTCTAGAAGTTATTAAGTGCACACTGTTCATACCCACGGGCTCAGGCAGCCTGCTTGCTCACTGACCTTCTCAGCCATGGCATCCATGTAGTCCTGTCGCTGATATTCTCTCCGGCGCAGATGCCTATACACATGGAACTCTCCGCTGCCTGCACCAGCGCTTGAACCTATAGCCAAGAAAGTTCAGAGTTCTTGATGAGCTCCAGTTATCAACACAGGCTACCTTTAATTAACAGTGATCAAAGAAAGAAACTCAACAATGGAAGGGACGGCCTGTCCTACTCCCACTATACTGCAGAATCTAGCACATCCTTCAATAAATATTTGCTGCATGAATGGCGAATGTGGAATTGACTAAAAAGTCCACTTAATGCAGTATTAAAAGGAGAAATAGAATGCAATTCAGTGACCCGGAAACCTAGAAGAGGGCCTAAGACTTTCCCTCTCCACCGGGTGTTATATTTCTGAGCTAAAAAGACATCCATGGTCTATTAAGGGAAAAAAGTTGGTTACCAAATAGTATGTGTAGACCAACCACATTTTTCTAAAAACATTTTTTTTTTTCTTAATCAGCAGTGGTTTTGTCTATAAAGAGGTTTGGCAGGCTATATCAGAATGCTACAAGTGGAACGATGAAATTGCAGGTGGTTCAAACTTTTTAAGTACTTCTATTCTTTCTCTTTTTAATTAGTACATGTTAATTTACAACCCAACAAAATAATAAAACTATTCCATGGATAAATAACCAATATGACGCATTATTAACAACAGTGCATAAGAAAATTCTCTGATGCCAAACCCCTTCGTTGTAAGAGCAAAATATTGGACCAGTGAACATTATTTTTTCCTATTAGAAAGCTAACTAACATATACTAATTGCAGGGTTTTTATATTTATACCTCAAAAATTATATTGACATGCACACACACTCCCCAAAAGACATTACCCATTACATCTCGGACAAATTCCGGGGGAGGTCGAGGTGCCCATTCACTCATTTTTTCTGGAATTGGAACTGCTTTGTCCTGAAATATTTAAACAGGAAAGCATTTATTAAGTATAAACCTGATGACAAAGTCACATCTCTTATAACCAAAGGATTTTAACTAGAGTAATGAAATAAGACTGCTTTGCTCCTTGGACTTAAAGCTGATTTCTTCCCTCTGTCTTAGCTTTATTTCATCCTGTATATTTTGGGGACTACCACAAGCTCATCAAGCCTATTCTAAACTTTCCAGAGGAGAACTCAGAAACCTAAGTCACCATGTACGGCTGGAAGCCTCCAACTTTAACCCTACACTGCACAAGAGAGTCAACCCTTTCTAGTCTAAGGCCTATGAGACCTGCTCATCCAATTGTTTTTATGTCTGAGGGGCCTGAGGCCTGGAGAGGGTGAGCGACTTGCCCCATGCCTCTAACGAGGTATTAAAAAAAAAGTTTTTATTGGTTTTAGAGAGAGGAAGGGGAAGGGAGAGAATCATCCACTAGCTGCAGCCCACAACATGGGCAAGTGCCCTGACCTGGAATCAATCCGTGACCTCACGGTTCGTGGGTCGACGCTCACCCACTGAACCACACCGGCTTGGCTAACGAGGTATACAGTTTAGAAGAAAATAACCCTTGTGCTAACCCACAGGCTCTATCTTTACAGTCTAACGCTTCTGTTTACAAAAAAGTTAAACGGGAAAAGGTCTGGGAGCACGGAAAGCCGCCCCACAGCGCCCCCGTCGGGCTAGGCTGTAACAAAAGGGCAGAAGGAAGCTCACTATCTCTGAAGCAGCCTACTCCTTCCTAAGGAACGGGCACTGGGGATCGGGTTATGAATTCCTGGATTTGGAGGCGAGGGGGGGAGTGGGCCCGTGGGCCCCCAGAGGCACCTGAAGGGAAGGGGGTGACTCGGAGGGCGGACGAGCCCACGCTTCGTCTTACCGGATTCTTCATGAGCCGCTCCAGCTTGAGCTTCTGCTCTTCCGCCGCATTCTTGGGGATGACAAGCGCTTGCGGCTCTTTCTTGGGCCTCGGCGGTCGCACCGAAGACGCGGCTGGACTCGCCATGACAGTTCTCTGGTTTCCCCAGCGAGCGGCGGCGGCGGCGCGCGTGTATGACGTCAGAGACGCGCGCCAGCGACGCAAGCGCAGTCTCCCAGCGGGGCGGGACTGGGGCGGAGTCGCCGGCTGCTGAATATTCATGAACCCGAGACCCAGCAGGTTGTTTTGATCAAAACCTGCTTGATTTCATTTCCTGTTTCTGGGTAAATCCCGGCAGCTGAGTCCCTGTCCCTGGGGAGAGGAGTTCAGCGTGCCCTAGGGTCCTGCCCCTGCTTACCTCTCCAGCCGTGCGCGTCACGGCTCCGCGGGCAGTTCTGCTTGCTAATGGCTCTCAGCCTCCCCTCCCGCCCTGAGCCTTTGTCATTGACTCTTCCTTGGGTCTGGTTCACTCCCCCTACCCATTTCTTTCTTTTATAATTATTTTTTTTCTTTATTGATTAAGGTATTACATATATGTCCTTTTCCCCTCATTGCCCCCCACTCCCTTTCATGCCCTTACCCTCCTGGTGTCTGTGTCCATCGCTTATGCTTATATGCATACATACAATCTTTTGGTTGATCTCTCCCTCTTACCCTCCCCCTCCCCTACCTTCCCTCTGAGATTTGAGCGTCTGATCGATGCTTCTCTGTCTCTGGATCTGATTTTGTTCATCAGTTTACCTTGTCCATTATAATCCACAAATGAGTGAGATCATGTGATACTTATCTTTCCCTGACTACACTACCCATTTCTGGCAACCTGTTTATTTTAAGATTTCGCTAACAACTTTCTAAGGACTGGACCTACCTCTTTTGCCCACCTCAAATTACTCTGCTCGTGGCCCCCAGCAAATATATCTCAGCCGAGTGAATGAGCCTATCTTACCAAAAAGAGAAAACTGCCCCTTGCATCTGGAGCTGGCCTGGAAGAAAGCTTTGTATTTTTCCAAGATCTAATTGGCTTTATTAAGCAACTCACGAACAGGGCAGCTGTTAGAAGGGATGCTCTTTGTAATCATTTTTGATGGAAAAACATCTTTGGAACCAGAGAGAGACTGAACACTTTCGCCATTCTCACTAATATGAGTAACTGCTGCTGCTTTACAGCATTGGCCTCTCAGATCATTCCTCCCACTTTAAATATTTAAGACATCAATCAGAATTGTCTCTGCTTCCTGAAAACATCTAACCCTTCCCCAAATCATGTAGCCTAAACTTAAATCTTATAAGACCTCTTTACCACCTTTTTTTTTTTTTTTTTTTTTTTTTTTTTTTTTTTTTGCTGAAGTAAGTGTTGTCTTACTTTTAGAGAGGTAATAAACCCAACTTGTTCCGCTACAGGTATGTTCTTGGTGGTCTTCACAATTATTGGTTTTCTCATTTATTATTTATTGCCCGCTAGAGAGTAGAAGTTCTGTTTTGTTCACTGCTGTATGCCCAGTGTCTGGGGTAAGGCCTGGCTTACAGTAAGGCACTCAAACACTTGCTGGATGACCATGGGATCTTGGGGGCCAGGTACCTCAGATACTCCCACTGCTGCTGCCTGCTCAGCCTACTCAGCCCAGGATAGTCCACTGAGTGTCCAGGGGTTAGACAGGTGGCTCCTGTGACAGGGCCCTGAATTAACACTATCAGGCCATTCTTGGCTACCTGATAGTGGGTGGTTTTCCAGGTAGTGATGAATTAGGGGAAGTTCTTGAATGGCCCAAGTCTGTCACTGGAACCTAGGGAGGACTTGGCCTGGGTATGGTCAGAGACACTTGGCCCTACATCACACACTCCAGCCATCCAAGCACCTCACTTTTCCCCAAACACATCACACACTCACACACACACACACACACACACACACACACATGAGTTTACTGGGGTATCATTTCCTCCCTGGAGAACTCCCATACACCCTTCTTAGCTTGGCTTAAATGCTACTTCCTCCTTGAAACCTATGACTCTCCCAGTCCCCTCCTCCAGGCGGACAGTTGTTTTCTTCTTGGTGCTTCCCCAGCTCTGGTCCCACAGGCTGGCAGGGTAGGTATCACTTTATATCCTCACCATCTCTCCACTCACAAGTCTGCGGGGAGAGCTGAGCCAGAATCCTGGCCTAGAGTATAGTGGTGCTTCCAGAATGCTTGCAGAACAGGGGAATTAGGGGACAAAAGGAGGGAGTCACAACTGCCTGAACAAATAAAGAATGAACATGCAAATGAGATGATCAAGTGATGGGTGGATGGGCGAACAAATATGGAAGTTAAATGAGTGAAAATATGAGGAAAATGGATGAAAACTCTATAAAATAATATTGAATGTCAATTGTAATTGAAAAAAATGAACAGAATTGTCTCTGCTTCCTGAAAACATCTAACCCTTCCCCAAATCATGTAGCCTAATGAATTACAAAGCCAAGAGGGAGCCATTTACCTGGCACCCCCAGCTCAGGGTCTGGCACAGAGCTGGTGCTTGGTAGATAACTGCTGGATGAAAGTGAAGTGAATGGGTGTACAAAGGTGAGAAAAATAAGGCATGTGGGTGTGAAGGAGCTGGTAATAATAATCTCAGTCTAAGCCTAGTGTAAGTGTATTGACACGTTTTATCATCCTTATTAGATAAGGAACAGAGTAAGGCCCTGAGGGGTGAGTGAGCTCAGGTCACAGGGACTCAAACCCAGTAGTCTGGCCCTGGGTCTGCAGGGCCTTAAATGACCACATACTCATGGATGGCTGGACCAACACTCCCAGCAGATACTGGTGAGGGCCACCCTTCCAGGGCTGAGGCCAGATTTGAAGTCCTACTCCCAGGGAGAAAAGGGTGCCTTACCAGCCTTTCTGCCCCATAAAAGTGGACTCAAACCTAGAGCGCCACCGTATCTGCCACCAGAGGGCAGCAAAGCCCCACCCAGCCATCTGCTGACCTGTACTCCTGAGGCCCAAATTTCAGCACCTAGGGAATGAGGTCTCCTGCTCAGGAAGACACAAGTGCTTTGGCGTCTGGTGGGCCTGTTGCCAATGTCTGGCTCCATCTTCTCTGGAGTGTGGGCTAGAAAGTCAACTTAACCTCCCAAAGGCTGTTTTCTATGCTCAGGATGGGACAACCAAACCTACCCTTGATACTGACTTGTGAGTAAAATGAGGTGATGGATATACAGTGCCTAGCACAGCACCTGTCCCAGTTTAATCCTAGAACTAAGGGTGTCCCAGGACAGTGCTAAAACCTGGAGACTCTTCGGTAAACCAGGACAGTTGGTCCCTATGGAGGGATAGGCACTCCTACCTCAATCCTTAGAGTTGTGGTTGGTACTCAAAGGAACTAAAACAGCAAAAACTTTTTACAACTATTCAATAACTTGGGTTTCTTACTGAATTAGTGGTCTTTCCACAGTGGTCCTGCGGTTGATGATGAGGGAACAGTTCCACCAATGGGAACAAAAACAAAGATGGAGAATACCAACTTTGGTAAAGAGTTTGTGAGTGTCCTATAAAGATAAACACACATGTACCATACAACCCAGCAATCTCACTCCTGGGTACTAACTCTAGAGAAATGAGAATATGTGTCCATTGAAAGACCTGTATGTGAATGCATGAAGCAGCCTGATTCATAATTGTCAAAACTGGAAACAACCCAAATGTCCACCTAATCGTGATATATCCAAACAGTGATACACTACTCAGCAATAAAAAGAAAGGAATTATTGATACTTGCAACCACACAGATGAGTCTCAAAAGCATTATGGTCAGTGAATGAAGCCAGATTCAAAAGGTTACAACCTGAATGACTCCATTACTTGACATTCTGGGAAAGACAAAATGATAGGGACAGAACACTGATCAGCAGGTTTGGACAGCTGGTCATGCAGGAGGGGTAGGAGGAGAGGTCTGACTTTAAAGGGCCAAGGGAAATTTGGGGGTGACAGATATGTACATCTGGATTGTAGTTTCTTTTGCTATGAGGACATACACATTTGCCAAACTCATTGAACTTATATGCTTAAAAAGGGTGGATTTAATTGTATAAAGATGATGTCTCAATACACTTGACATAATAAAAGTTGCCTTGCCAGGTTACAGGGGAGCCAATCCCCATTGTCTGGGTGGTTCTGGAGAGCACTGCCAGCCTTTGGCCCATTGTGCCTCCCCCTGTAAATAGTCCCTACCCTGTTCAGTGTGGGCAAGAGGGTGGGGTGGCAGGGAGAGGCTTTCTGAAGCTTAGAGGTTACTGTGGATGAAGTCCCCACACTTCTGCTCTGGACCCCACACAACAGAGTCCTGGCTGCTCTGGCCAAGGCCGATTAGCACTCACAGGCCAGGGCCCCTTTCTGAACCAGGCCTCACTGAGCAATGGCAGGAGGTGCTTAGAGCTACAACTGGCAGGACCCCATCCTCCGGAGCCCTCAGTCTGACTCCCTGAAGTACCTTCCTATCCCTGAATGTGGACTCGCATAGGAGGGGGCTCCATGGTCTGCTGGCTGAAAGACCCAGTGGGATATATTCCTAGAAGTGGGATCATTGGGTCAAATGGGAGTTCCATTTTTAATTTTTTGAGGAAACTCCATACTGTATTCCACAGTGGCTGCATTCCCACCAGCAGTGCACAAGGGTTCCTTTTTCTCTGCATCCTCACCAGCACTTGTCGTTTGTTGGTTGTTGATGATAGCCATTCTGACAGGTGTGAGATGGTTCCTCATTGTCGTTTTGATTTGCATCTCTCGGATTGTTGGTGACTCTGAGCATGGTTTCATATGCCTTCTGTATGTTCATTTTCGGAAAATGTCTATTTAACTCCTTTGCCCATTTTTTTTTATTGGATTGTTTAATCTTCCTTTTAAGTTGTCTGAGTTCCCTATAAATTTTGGAAATAAAACCCTTATTGGATATAACATTGGCAAATTTGTTCTCCCATGCAGTGGGTTCTCTTGTTTTGTTAATGGGTTCTCTTGCTGTGTAGAAATCAGAAACACCAATGAGAAAGAATATATGCTCCCCTTTGTTCATTGCAGTACAATTTACAATAGCTAAGATTTGGAAACAGCCTAAGTGCCCATAAGCAGAGGAGTGGATTAAAAACCTGTGGTACATCTATACAGAGGCATAG